AGAGGAGGAATTGGATATCATTAAGCTCACCGCCCAGTTTGTAGCAAGGAATGGGAAAAATTTTCTGACAGGGTTGACCAGTAGAGAGAATAATAATCCGCAGTTTCATTTTCTGAAGCCTACTCATAGTATGTTTATGTTTTTCACTTCATTGGCAGATGCATATTCAAAGGTCCTAATGCCCTCAAAAGGCTTGACCGATAAACTAAGGAAGAGTGCTGCTGACATGACGACTGTTCTTGAACGTTGCCTGAATCGATTGGAATGGGAAAGGTCACAGGAGCAGGCAAGGCAGAAAGCTGAAGATGAGATAGAACAAGAGAGACTGCAGATGGCTATGATTGATTGGCATGATTTTGTTGTAGTTGAGACTATAGATTTTGCTGATGATGAGGATCAAGATTTGCCTCCTCCTATGACCCTTGAGGAGGTTATAAGGAGGAGCAAGATGTCATCTATGGAGGAGGAAGAATTTGTTGAGCCTGGGAAAGAGGTAGAAATGGAGATGGATGAAGAGGAGGTTCAGCTTGTCGAAGAAGGCATGAGAGCTGCTACCCTTGAGGAGATTGCTGTCCAGAATTCCGAAGTGAAGGCAGTTACAGAGGATCAGGAGGCGCCAATGAGAATTGTGAAGAACTGGAAAAGGCCCGAAGAAAGGATGCTTCCAGAAAGGGACCCGACAAAATATGTCATCTCTCCTATAACTGGGGAGATGATTCCAATAAGTGAAATGTCTGAACATATGAGGATCTCTCTTATTGATCCTAAATACAAGGAGCAGAAAGAGAGAATGTTTGCAAAGATTAGGGATACAACACTAGCTCAGGATGATGAAATTTCTAGAAACATTGTTGGGCTTGCAAGAACACGGCCTGATATTTTTGGTACCACTGAAGAAGAAGTGTCAAATGCAGTCAAGGCTGAGATTGAGAAGAAAAAAGAAGAACCAAAACAGGTCATATGGGATGGTCACACCGGCAGCATTGGTCGCACAGCTAGCCAGGCATTGTCCCAAAACAATACAGAAGATCAGTATGATTTTGTTAATGATTCAAGGAACCTTTCGGGACCTCAAGCACCGCCCCCTCCTAGGCCTGGTTTGCCATCAGTTCGACCACTTCCTCCACCACCTAGTTTAGCACTAAACATTCCTCGCCCTCCCAGTAGTTACCCTTACCCAACCCATAGTAACCCAAGTGTTAATATCCCACCACTTCCCAGGCCTCCTGTAATAAACACGATTCCACAGGTGCAACCTCCACCCCCTACCATCTCACCCATGCCTGGGCAACATCTTATGGTAAACCGTCCCCCAATGCACACATCAATGTCCATTAATGCTCCTAACATTTCTTTACCACCACCGCCTGGCTCTCAATTTACCCATATGGGCCCTCCTCGGCCTTTTGTTTCCCATTCCATGTCGCAGCCTGGAATGAATGTGGTCCCACCACCTCCAATACTGCCACATGGAATGCCTCCACCACCTCCACCTGAGGAAGCTCCACCACTTCCCGAGGAGCCAGAGCCTAAGAGGCAAAAGCTTGATGAGTCTGTACTCATTCCTGAAGACCAGTTCCTCGCCACACATTTGGTGCGAAAACCATTTTTTTATGTCCATCCTGCAGTTTGTTTTCATTTCGTGTATCGGTATCTAATTTGGATTCTGTTTTTTGTTTTGTTTTCCCTTTGTCACAGGGACCTGCCCGTATCAGCATTACTGTACCAAATGTTGAAGAAGGAAATCTCAAAGGGCAGGTTTTAGAAATTTCAGTGCAATCATTGGCAGAAACTGTTGGCAGTTTGAAGGAGAAGATTTCTGGTGAGATCCAGCTTCCCGCAAACAAGCAGAAGCTGAGCGGAAAGGCTGGGTTTCTCAAGGACAATTTGTCGCTTGCATATTACAATGTGTCGCCAGGAGAAACACTCAATCTTTCACTCAGAGAACGTGGTGGCAGAAAGAGATGAAGATTGATAGTTTTCAAGGCCATCAAGAGGTTCATATTGGAACTACTATGACTTTTAAAATCCTTTGAATATCTAAGACATTGTTCTTAGTGTTGTTATTTAGCCTAAAAATTTTGTTCATCATGTACACATAATAGTACTTTTCAGTTTTTAAGTCCTTATGCTGGCGGCATGACAATCTACTACAGAATTGGCATCTTGGCAAGGCTTCACTGAGGCTGATGGGAAGTTTGCTTGTTCCATTTCTATAAGCTGCAATTTATCAATATGTTTTTTTAAGTGACTAATTATGTCCTCTCTTGACATGCAGCTGGTCCGCTCCAACTGAGTTTTTAGTCTTTGCATTGAAGTATCTTTTATTCAATTGAATTTCTATGTCGTATATGTTCTCTACTTTGTCTTTTTGAATGATACTCTTTCTCAGCATGCGGTACGGTACTGTGAACTCTATCTTGGAATGAGGTTTGTTTTTGTAGGACTTGTGATAAGAGCACTGTCAATGCTCTTCACACATGCAGACACGTTCAAAACTTGTTTTCAAGCTTTCATGAATTTAAAGTCGGCCTATGGGCAAATTGTTGAAGGGTCTCCCGAATGCCTGAGACTGTCTCTAGGATTGCCACATGCTCTTCAGGTATCATGTTTTTCAACGCACAAGCTTTTGTTTTGAACTCTTGTGTTAGCTTGCTTTTGTCGAGTATGTGCTAGTTTGTGTTTAGAGTGTACCATGCTTTTGCAGTTTGGGCTTTAGCTTCCATTTTGAGGAAGCTACTTGGTGCGTTTATGTGCGCCCTATTTTTGCCTTCTTCCACTTGCTCACGCTTATATACTAGGCGTTTCTGGAATTGTGCTTAGTTTTCACCTTTTAAAATATTTGTGTGGATGCTTAGTAATTTAACATGTATGCTGAGTTAATGGCTACTTGTCCGTTTGGTAACATTCCAGTGGTTAGCTTTAGTATTTTGAAAAGGCTATCTATTGGCATCGTTTAGTATTAACATTTTCACAGTTAATCTGCACTATTATAAATTCACCCGGTTCATTGAGTTCCAATAGAAAATTACTCCGGGGTACCCTTGTTTTTTTGGTAGTGACTCCCATGTCCCACATTATCTGAAATATATTTTGGGGTACCCGTATTTTTTGGTAAGAATTCTAAGGTCCCACATTATGCGAAATATACTTTGGGGTCCTTAAAATTTGTGATATTATAACTCGAGGGTATATTTCGTCCATTTAGGGATTAAGATTGAAAGTTCTTTAACTTTGAGAAATTGAATGATTTTATTTTAAATTTAATAAAATAATGATTACGAAGATAAAATTTAATTTTGTCAGAGTACCAAAACTTCTAATCCTAACGGTCAAATAGATAGAATATACCCAAAGAGTAAATTATCACTAATTTTAAGGATCTCCTTAGTATATTTCAAATAATTTTCTGGAGTTCCAATGTCATACTATGATCCAAGGTTTTAAAAGGCGAAAACAAGCCTCAAGGCGGTTAGGCAAAATGCCTTGAGGCGTAAGCCTCGAGGCAGAATGAGGCATAAGCCTCAGTTCATCTTGGAAAAAAACCATAATAAAAACTCTTTAGGTACAAAAAATAGAGGATCCATAATTATGTAAACTAAATCATAAAATCATCCATAGGTTTTCATTTAAACAAAAAAGGGTAGAATATAAAGGAAATTAAATAATCCATATTCATGGTATTATTTTGACACTACAATTTGAGTCTCCAAGTTTTAGACTACTCAAAACTCAGCCTATCATCGTCTAAAACATTAATATACAAAACAAAGTTTAAGGTACTGCACAAATCACAACCAAGAGACTAAAAAACCACCATATTTAATAACAATAAATGACATGAAATTCAGCTTTCAAAAAAATCTAGAATTGAAATCATCACGAAACATCAGTGACTTGATATACTTCCTTCGTCCCGCTATATTCGTCCACTTTTGACTTTTGAAACTGTTCATCTAAGGACTTTGACTTATCAAATTCTCTCAATGTGTAAGCCTAAATATAGTCATGTGTGATCTTGTTTGATTTGTCTTAACATATAGATTATTAATATATAATTTCTATAATTTTTTAATATACAAATTATAAGATAAGATGGATTAAAGAAGTGTATTGGATGGTGTGCAAAAATGAAAGTGGACAAATATAGTGGGACGGAGGAAGTATTTAATATTAAATGACACAAACCTTCAAAAATATAATGGTCAAAAGGGGACTTATTTAATAATATGATTTCAGATTTCATAAATTATACTCAAGGTAGTCAAACTCGAGATGTATGTATGTATGTATGTATGTATGTATGTATGTATGTATGTATGTAACACTAATATGTTTTAATTAAAGAAAACACAATACTTAAGTGTCACAAATCATTTAAAACTTGATTCCTAAAATAAAAAGTGAAGGAAGAATGGAGTAAATACAAACGGAGTATTAAAAAAGCTCAATAAAAAGGAAAAAAGTACCTGGGTAAAGAAAATTGTGACAAGACCACAAGTGCAATAAGAAAACAGGCAGTAGCCGTCCGAAAAAGAAAATAAAAAAGAAATAGGGAGTAGAGCTCTGGGAGCTTCGTAAAAAGAAAGGAAGTAGAGCCGTCAAAAAAAAAAGAAAAAAAAGAAAAGAAATTACAGAGTCGGAACTCGAAAGAGTCTGATCGGGTAAAAACAGAGGCGCTTGACCTGTCGATCGAAATTACGCTTGTTTTGGTCAATTGCCGATCCCACGAAACAAGATCCAAATCGAGGCTACCGCCTCACAAACGCCTTTTTGCCTCAACCGCCTTGGACGGCCTCAGAAAAACAAGGCGTACGCCTCACAGATCCCACCTGGTGCGGATGCCTCTGAGGCTAGATCTGATCGCCTTACTGCCTTTCCGCCTCGAGGCGGACCGCCTTTTTTGCTTTTTAAAACCATGCTATGATCTGGGCTTTTATGATGCCCCGTTCGAAAAATTGACGGTTTCAAATTCCAATTTATTGAATTCCATGTCCCACATCGAACCTAATGCTAATTTGAACCATTGTTCCCAAATGGAGCTTTTGTTCAATAATTGGCTTTTCTGGAACCAATATGCTGCCTTTGGAAGCGTTTTACACTTTTAAAAAATCACTGTTTTGTGCTAATCAACCCAAACTAGAGCAATATAGTTTTAGTTGTGGACAACATTTTCTGTTTCTTCGAGTAAAAGCTAATTCTTGTCCAGAAGAGAAGCAAGATTTTCTCAAGTAAAAAAGCAATGCTCTGAAGCGTCTTCAATTGTTTGTAGATAAAGCTGTAATAAACATTACTCCGGGAAGTAAATGATGAAGAGCTATTACAAAAATTAATCTTGGTTCATTACCACATCTGGTTGGTCTAGTCTCTGAATAACTCACTCTAGACTTCCGTTACCTATCAAGCTTATTGATACTTGACAAACTGAGAGCATCTAAAATAGGCAATGGAAGTAAAGAAAGTTTAACTATGTTTACTTTGTGAGTAGTAAAGAGATAATTTAATTTGGAATGGGAGTACATTCCTTAGGATACCACACATGATTTTTTGCGAGGCAACACTTTGTTGCATACATAGAGGGAGTTTTTTCTTTGCTTCTATCGGATGATTTCTAAAAACAAGTAGATAAAGCGGTACGATTAATGCTCAACGAAAAATGTTTTGAATTCTTAATAGGACTCAATGAAAGCTAAAAATAAACATATAAGTTTGCAAATCAAAGGCAAACGAATGGTGCAGAGATTTTGAAAAAAATTGAGTAAATTAACCACAATTTATGACTAAAAAGGTTTGTAGCCGTTGGAGTTAATGGTGGGCATGGGTGGATAGATAGTCCGAGTCCCAGACCAGTTTTATAAAATGGGTTGGAATGGCCCGAGACACGACATATATATGGTTTTAAAGAAATAGTCGGTGGGCTTTTGGCAAAAAAGGTAAACGTGGTCAGCCTTCGACGAGTTGAGGTGGTACAACTGTAAGTTTGCACAATGCCATGCGATTACGACGACGACGACGTGGACTTTATCCGTCGTGGATAGAACACATGTTCTCATGTCTTGGAATGCTAGCCAGACAAGTTTTATCCGTCTTGGTATCAACCGTAGCTGTGGAACAAGAATTTAGTTCTAGCGGCAACATTCTAATCAACTACCGAAGTTTTCTTAGCGCGAAATCTCTTGAAACACTTGTTTGCAACCGAGATTGGCTCTTGGCAACACGTCGAGCTCAAGAGTCAGGGTACGAATTTAATTCTGAACATTACATGAATGCAATCACAGATTGAATCCCTAGTTCCGAGGAATAAGTTATAAACTTTTTTTAATGTTAGTGTAATTAGTTTTTATTAGGTGAGCGATGTGTAAGCTCCTTCGAGGGTTTCTTTACGATTCTTTACCTCGTCGCTTTGTTTGAACCGTCAGGATATTAAATGTAGTTGTTCGTGTATTACTCATTTTTCAATATTTAAATAACAACTACATTTTTAAATCTTTTATTTCATTATTTCCTTTAAAAATTACACATTTACATGATACGTAAAACAATGGTTTAAAGAAGAAGAAAGTAGAGAAATTAGGGTTTTTAATTGCTTGTATGAAGATCCCTCGGCCGAATGGAGTACATGGGATTAAATAAGAGAAACCCTATCCTCAACACTAATAATTCTACGTTATCTATGCTGGCAGTTCAAGAAAAGGCGACGAGAGAAAGAACTGCAAAAAAACCTCGAAGGGGCTGATTTTTGCCCACCTAATAAAATCTAATTACAATAAATAAATAATAAGGAATAAAATGAAATAACAAAGCCATATCAGGTAGTGTAGTCCCGTTGCCATGTGGGTGGTCGATGTACTCTCGAGCTCCTTCGAATCGCCGCTTCCCGGATAGTCCCATCATCCCTAGACGCGTCTTCATTCCCAACGTATGTGCTTCCCATTGCTTCGGAACCGCCCGACATACCGACATCATAACATTCCTCCCCCGATCAAACTCCTCCTTGTCCTAAAGGCGAATATTTGGAAAACGCTGACGAATGACCTCCATTGGTTCCCATGTGGCATCATCTAATGAAACCTCAGACCACTAGACCAACCCCTGTTCTACCATGCGACTCGCATGCAAGACGTGACGTCGGCCATGCAAGCACACAGGAAAGGCCACTGGCCTTCCCTCTGAGAATTCCTCCGCATCGGTGTAATGGCCGCCTCTGACAACGGTCCCTGGAAGCGCCGCAACAAGGACACATGGAACACGGGATGAACCCTGGACGATTCCGGTAGTCACAGTTTATATGCAACAGCCCCCACCCGTTCAATGATTTCATAAGGACCATAGAATCATCGTGCTAGCTTCTTGTTGCGACAACCAACCACTGAATTCTGGAGATACGGCTGGAGTTTCAAAAGAACCAAATCCCCCACCGTAAACCACACATCGCGACGGTGACGATTGGCCTTAGTACGCATGACCTGCTGTTGGTGTTTGATACGGGCACATAGGCATTCCAGTAGCTTGGTCTGCTCGGTCAGTAGAGCGTCCACCTCTGGTAAGCCACAAGTGCCAGGTGTGTATGTGAGTAGAGACGGTGGATCCCGGCTGTAAAGAGCCTGAAATGGAGTCATGCGTATCCCCTCATGGTAGCTCGTGTTCATGGCATACTCCGCCCACGGTAAAAAAACCAACCACTGTGACGGCGAGTCATGTGTAAATGCCCGGAGACACTGTTCGACCCTGCGATTCATAACCTCGGTCTGGCCGTCGGTTTGTGGGTAGAACGCAGTGCTATGGTGCAGGGTCGTGTCGCTTAACTTCAACAAGTGTTGCCAAAACTTACTAAAAAAGACAGTGTCGTGGTCGGACACGATGGGTAATTTCACCACTATATCAAAGAGGAATGCCACCCG